GTGCCACAATCAGGTTTTAGTGATGTCAGATCTAATGGGGGGAAAGCTGAAATGTCACCAGTGGACCCATTTAGTGTTGGTAAACGTCAGTTCGAATTGACATCCAAATCGACGTTATTTTTTAAACTGACTGAGCCGTTGGGACAATCTGCAATCTGATCAACCCCTCGACGATTGCTTCAGTCCAATATAAATTTTGTGAAATCAACAAGGAATTAACATTATGAGCCAAAGCCGGCCGCATGCGAAGTGAGCCGTTAAATTGAAAGAGCCAACATAGTATGTACATAAAATCAGAATTAACGGCTTTCTAAGTGCCATAAAAGCTGCCACGGTGTTTAGCCCGGCCAACAATTAGTCCAACGTGGCATATTAAAATCGCTATAAAGTGCCATTTTTCGTTATACCAAAAGAGAAAAATAAATAAAATGAAAAACCAAAGATGTTGATGTGCTTGGAGTACTCTTTAATTCAGTACGGCTTTGGCCAATGTCATCGGACTAATGCCGCCTCGTAAAACACGCAACAAAGTCATAATTTGTCGGTTAAGCAAATAAAAGCAAAATTGTGAATTTTCTTTGCGGATTTTTACGATGCCGCCTTCTAGACAGCATCTGAAGAGATTTTCGGGAAAATACTGCAACGTCAAACGGGAACGGGAACTTAATTTTAAAATGAATAAATATGTGTATATGCTTTTATATTTATACGTACATATATGTATTTTAATACGTGCATTTATGTATTTTATTTTGCTTTTGATATTTTAATGATGATTGCCTTTTGGCGCAGTGCGTGCCTCTTGATTTATAGCCTCGCTTTCGGCCAGATTTGCTGCAAGATTTCCGCATCTATGCTTGGCCGATCATTAGGCCTTAAATGCTGGCCATGAATATCTGGCTGCATATATATACATACATATATCATATCTGAGGACCACACGCACACACACAGCTTTTAATTATCAGTGGACCATGCAGCAGGCCTAACCATTGCCATTACCAATACACAAGTAATTCAATAAGCTGGCCAATAAATATTTGCCTTCATTTGCTCTCGTAAAATCAAAACACTTTGGCCAGCTCCGTGCAGCTGTGGCTCTAGTCGCAATAGAGCTGTGACCACCTAATAGGCCAAACTCGCCGACGGCTCGATTCGCCAGCTCGTAATGCAAACGGAATGATCGCAATTTAACGGAGGATCGCGATCCTCTGGAGTCGTCGTCTCTCGTGCATTGCAATTAGTTGGCAACTCGTTGGCGCTGCCTCGGGGTCGGCCGCCTGCATTGGGCCGGTCTCAGAGCAGTAGTCGTTGAGATTTTATCGCTTACATAAATTTCCTTGGATAAAAGCGCGAAAATGTTGCTCATGACTGGCAACATGTTTAGACCTACAAGCACACACACAGGCACACACAAACGAGTACAGTCTCATTCGTTTGCCCCGCCCCCAAAGCCTTCGATCATTGAGGAAAAGAAATTATAGCAATTTGCTTGTCAAATTGTTGCAAGCCGGCACAATAAATCGAGCTCTTAATGGATCCATCGCGATAGAGTTGTTTTAGAAATAAATTATCCTCGAGGCAGCACAGGCTGCAGCCACAGATCCTCGCAGCTTTTCATCGTCGTTTAGTGATTGTAAAATGTGCAATTTCATTGGCATGCCTTTTACTTCAATCCCAATCATTTGCAGCACTAATTTAATGGTGCTACGTCATAGAATGGCCAAATTGAATTTAGCGACGATCAAATTGATTGAAATATTGTTTACCATTGATTGATGGCATGCGGGCGAGCAACGTGCTTGCAAATGGCCAAACTCTGCGGAGGACTGGATAGTAAGAGAAGAGCCAAAGGTGATAGACTAGAAATTATGATGAAACTCCATTTGTAATATCTAATGTATCTATAAGAACTTGAAGCTATTTTACATAATTGGGTTGACCTGATAAGCGATCAAGAACCCTAAGACTTTAACGTACATTGGTCATTGCAATACCCATACCAATGCCAGTGCCAGTGCCAGCTCCAATTCCAGTTCCATTCCATTCATAGGCTTAGTCACTGATATCTAAAAGCCACCAATGGATGCAGCTTTATTTCGCATTTATTCCTGCCCGAGCTACAAAAATTGTGCTGAGTCTTCGTCTAGCCACTGGCCAGGTGCATGGGTCAATGGCTCCTGCTAGCAATTCTCTCTGCTTTTAGCCAATTGTTGCCAGCCGACTCACATTTGCAATTATGGCCATTTTTATTGTCTTCGCTTGCACCTGATATGGTCTGCCTTGAGGCTGGATGCTGAATGCTGAATGCTGGATGCTGGATGTGGGCAGAGGAGCCGCATGTGGCGGCTGAATCGAACGAGGTTCTGTGTGCTCCCATTGCTTCCGTAATTCGAAATGTTTACGGTACATTTAATTTCATTTGGATTATTACAATATGCTTTAGGAGACTAGCTCGCAAATGTTTGGCTGTAGTCCGTCTCTCTCTCTCCCTCTCTCTCTCTCTCTCTCTCTCTCTCTGTCTCTCCTTTACTCGTTCTCTCGCTCTCAATCCATCGTACCACTCTCTTGTTTTCTGTGTTTTTTCTCATGCTCCATTTGCGGCGTCTTTCGCCGGAACAATGAGCCATGAAGTGGGTGGGCGTGGCCTGTGCTTGGGCCTGGGCCTTTAGTCGACACTCAGGTGCTCGTATTTCATTGTTGTTGCCAAAATGTAATTGCGAATTTCAGACAAATGTGAAATTTGAATTTACAAGTTTAACTTTTCTTGTAACGAGTAAAATCATTTGTTTGCCTTGCTTACAGGCACAATCGTTCCTTCTGTATATATGCATATCTATGTGTGTGTGTATGTGTGGGTGTTGAATGTGCAGTTGGCAAACCTTGACTAAGTTCATTTGTTCCATTTCAACGCTCCCAGCAGCTGCCAGAAGTAGCAGAAGCAGTCTACTTCCGCCGCATTTCTTGCCAGGCCGCATAAACAAATATACTTGCCTGTTCTTGGATGCTGCCGCTCCAGACTGTTCCTAACCGTATTTTCACTTTCTCCCACCATTTTCCCATAATAAATGTTGTCGTATGGCGTGAGAAATGAAGACTTACATAGGTAGACCTTCGAAAGGCTTACTTACACTAGCAGTGCTGCCATCTCTTCACGGCCCAGATCAACTGATTAAGAAATCTAGAAGAAGCTTAACAAAAATATTGCTGTTATATATTTTTTACCCAATGCAGAATCAGATTTCCAATAAGAGTGAGTCTAAGTTTTAATCTACATTAGGTATCGTAACTTACTGCCGTAAGTTAAATGAAATGAGTATACATAACTGAGGCCTAAAACCGAGTGAGACCTCTATAATATTTGCATGCATAGACTTCGTATTACCGTTTCGTGTTTGTTCAGCAAATATTTGAGTTTTTTGACTACTATTATTACTATCTATTTGCGTGTTTACTATGAATTAATTTATTAATTATTATGAACTTAAAAAATTGGAATTTATTCAAATATTTTAGATCTAACCTGAAATAGGCTAAACTGGCGATACTGAAGATATGTGGTACCACTAACCAGGGAACACATAGATCGGACACGTAGTCTAAAGCTTTTTGCACACTTTTTGTTTTTTGCATAAGTTCCCTGACAACTTCGTATTTGTTTCGGCCTCTTATTTTTAGGTTCGGGCTACGAATATATGGGAGCGCAAATTTATTTATGGTTGATTTTTAAGCGAAGTTTTATTACGCTCAATGTTTCCCTTGCCCGCTCTCTCTATCACTTGATGCTCTCTGCTCTCTCAAATATGTATGTATGCATATGTATGCATGTGAGCACAAACAGCAGCTCACACAAATTGAAATTTCTTCGCGTTAGACTCCCGTTTCTGCCCTTCTGTGTTAAGAGAAATACCTAACTCATCAAATCATTTGCCATGCTCATGCAAAGCTTTTGCTTTTTCATGATTATTTGCGGGAAGGGTATGAAAGCGCTGCTGCACATTAAGAAAATGTTTTCGCCACGAGCATTCACACACACACACTTACAGTCCCGTGAACATTTACATACATACATACATTTGCATATGAAGTGTTTGAGATACGATGATCAAAATTGTCGATTCAGCAGGTTGTCAATTTTGTGTGGCTTTAATTGTAGAGTGATTGTCAAATCAGCTTTTATGACCGCAGCAGTCGATTCGGCATTATAGAGAACAGCTTGACAGATCTTGACATTTGTTTTCATACTCCACTACCCAATGTAATCCAAAGGTTTTAATAGACTCTTTGGTGTACTAATATGATTTTTGCAGTTTGAAAGTGTGTATAATGTAATTTTAATTACTAATACATTTTTATCGATTATCGTATATACACATGTAAGCGTGTGTAGGTATAATTGTGTATGCATATGGGTATATACATATATGTGAAGAGGATATGAAAGTCCACAAGATCGATGATTTGACAGTGTGCTCCATGGTTGGGGGTTCTATTTACTCATATAGCGATCAGCTTGTGTCTGTGTTAACTTACAAATGCCGATCAGCTTGGGTCGTGTCGAATGCATTTTAAATTGGTATTTATTGATCGCTCGAAATACATATGTTCTCTTTCTGTATGGCCATATATATATATTTATTTATTTACAGCTACTGGCGATGTCTCAAAGTGTCAAATCATAATTGTGAGTAATCAACGCATAGAGGTGTAGGATGGAAACCCAAGAAGCAAGCATCTGTGACTGCAATTGTATATCGATCGATAAACTGTGAGCCATTTCGCGTGATCAGCATCGAATTATTGGCAGAATTGTGGGATTCCCATTACGCTGTGTGTGCGAGTTGAGTCAGCTGCTTCTAATTATAATTTTTGTACAAATTAGAAAGACTGTGTAATACATTATTTTTTTAATATTTTAAATTTGCTGTTGCTTTTATATATATCATAAAAGTAAATTGGAATAAATTATGGAACTCCCATATTATAAACCTAGCAGGGATATGCTGCTAGCGTTCAAAGCAAAGTTTAGTGAAGAAAGTCTCAGAGCGAATGATGCTAGCTTTGGCGAATATCTGGATGAAAGAAAATTGAACTACGATAACATTGCTTCTGTTCTCAGAAAGCTGAACACTATTGAGGATATCGCCCACATGAATCAATATGCTCAGCTACTCCAAAGGAATGTAATAGTTAGACATCTTCAACATCCTCAAGAGCAGGCTGATAAAAGCGCAAAATTTTACAAACTGAGATTTGGCCAGTTACCCATTAATCCCAAAGATGTCATTGAGGCTCATGTGGACGAGCTAATACTTATTTCTGAAGAAAGTCTGCGAGCAAGCCCATTGCCGACTCCGCTGTTCTTGGCACAGCTGCCACATGTACATGAGCACCACGGCGCAGGGAATCAAATGTGTCGGTATTTTGGCAGTATTGTTCGGGTGAATAACACTTTTGTGATTTTCAAAAGCCGCGATATACCCGCTAAGGTATTGAAAAAGAAATGGACTGTAGTCTTTAGGTCGAACCGCGTGATGTTTCGTTTTATTTATAACGTACTCGATGTACTTAAGAATTGTCGAATCTATCGACAATATCTACTTCCCATTACTGATGTCAGCCAGCCAATGGTGACTGCCACCTTGGCAGAAATTTCCCCGATCAACACTGAAATTGCGACTAATGCTGAGCAGCTGCAGGCTGTTCGGCATATTATCTCTGGAGCCAGCACACTTTCGCCATACATTGTATTCGGACCACCAGGTGAGTGAGAGAGAGAGGGAGAGAGAGAGAGGGGTATAGACAACAGCTGATTGCATCCATTTACAGGCACTGGAAAAACCACAACCGTAGTGGAGGCTATTCTTCAACTGTATGTTCTCAATAAGGGCCGCATCCTGGTGACAGCGGGATCCAACTCTGCCTGCGATACAATCGCTCTGAAGATGTGTGAATATATTGAGAATCACGAAAAGTTTGCCGCTTTGCCCATCGACGAGAAAAGAGATGCGGTGTTGCGCCTGTTCTCAAAATTAACATACTTAGATGGACGATTGCGTTCTGTACATCCCTTGGTATTGAAATACTCGAATTACTCCGATTGTCACATCCATCGAGATTTAAAAGACTATCGAATAATTGTGACTACCTTATGCATGGCTGGCAGTCTCGCATTCAGAAAAAAAGGTTTGCCTTTTGCATATGTTTTCGTTGATGAGGCAGCCGCTTCCACTGAGCCCGAGACGCTGCTTGGCATTGTGGGCATTAAGGATACCGCTTGCCACGTAATACTTTCCGGTGACCACAAGCAGTTGAGCCCCGTTGTCATTGACAAGTGTGCAGACACGCTGGGTCTGCGCCAGTCCCTAATGGAGCGTCTGATGCTGAGCAAGCCGTACGAGGTGGATGCCGAGGGCAACTATGATTGCACGATACAAACGCGATTGCGTTACAACTATAGATCCCATCCAAAGATTGTGGGTCTGTTCAATAAGCTATACTATAACGACGAGCTTATTGCGATGGCCCCACCGTCGAGCGTGAATTTGGCCGCATCATGGAGCCACTTGTCAAACGCGCAGTCTCCTATTTTATTCCATGCAGTATTTGGGAAAACAAGCCGCAGTCCGCACTCAATGAGCAGCTACAACGATCAAGAGGCCAAGGTGGTGGCGTGGTATATTAGAACCATGCTCAGGAGGGGCATTGGTAATGGCGTCAAGCCGCAGGCGCAGGACATTGGCGTCATCACGCCATATGTGGCACAGTGTGAGCGGCTTAGGCACTTTCTGCGCCAACAGGGCCATCAGGCTGTGGAGGTCTGTACGGTGCACAAATGCCAGGGCCAAGAGAAGCCAATAGTTGTTGGCTCCCTGGTTTGCTCCAATGCTGACACGACCTTCGTGGCCAATCCACAACTGCTGAATGTGCTAATCTCGCGAGCCAAGTCGCTATTGATATTGATTGGCAATCCGTCTACTCTGGCTAAGAAACAAGATTTTCGCTATATAATTGAGCAATGCAAACTGAGTGGAAACTTTTTGGGTGTGCACAACTCTTGAATATGTGTGAATTTTCATATAATCACATCAAGTTGACCAGCAAGAACTGTTCCTATTTATATACATATAAATATGTGTAATTGTTTTTATTAAATTTTATTTGTTTTCATTATATCGACAAAGTATATCTTGTATGCATAGAATAAGCATAATGTATGAATGTAGCTAAGCTTCTTATTAATTTGCCTGCTGAATAAATTGTGCGCCGTATTTGCGCGTCTTTACTGTAGCTAGAATTGTGCGCCGGCTTTTGTCCATTTGTTTGGGCTTTGTGCGCCGTGGGGAGCTTTTGTGCTCGAGCGTCATACCGAAAATGTTGCATTTCACGTATTGTTGGCGCTGGCTGTGGCATTCGCTTTCGCCTTTACTTTGCCTGCTGTTACACATTTTCTTGCTCTTCGCCTATTGTTGTAGCAGAGCCACAGCCACAGCCACAGCCAGAGCCAACAGTGATGCGTTCTGGTCTGCCACATAAAACAGTGGGCCACACACAGTCCAGGTCCCGTACGGAGTCCACAGCAGCCTTTGCATGCACACATGCACAAACACAATTAGAGACTTGGTTTGTTGGTTCAACTTGTTTGCTTACATTCAACTTACTTCACTTCTGCTGGGTTGGTTTCCCCTTCTTCTTCTTCTTCTTCTTCTTTTTTTCCTTGCCTCGCTCTCTTGAAAGTTTTTGGCCAACTTTGTTCACGTCATTGTGTGAACGCCTTAACTTAATTTTGTGGATTTCTATGCATTTCTTCACTCCTTCTCACTCTCTCACTCGCCATCCCTCTCACTCTCTCTCGCTGTGAGAGTGTGTGTGCAGAGTTTTGTGATTGTTTAAATGTTGTATAATTCACTGATTTCTTGTGGCTTTTGTTGTATTTTTGTGTGCGACTCTGTGATTACGTTTGGTTTGAAATCTGGGCGCACGATGCGTATGAGCAATGTTCGTTGTGTGTGTGTGCAAAGCGGAATACAAGAGAGCATTGTATGTTATCCTTAAGTGGAAATATGAGGAAATGGAATAATTAAATTGCTTTGCCTTCCTCTAGATATTCGCATTTAACTCAGCTCAATTAAATTGTTTCAAAAAATATATAATGAAATTATATCATATATAAATAAAATAAAAATAATCAAACTCTATTAAAATATGCAAATTATATGTAAGTACAAATAAAAGAGAGAGCTTTATGCTAGATAAGCTGTGCATCATTATTGCAATCCACCAACGAAATCTTTGTATATTCAAAACCTATAAAATAACCCCAAATACATAGGCAACCCAAAAAAAAGAAGAGAAAGAATAAAACTCTTCAATGTCCTTATATTCCAGTGAGACGAGCATCATGCACTGCAAATTGTTGTATCCGAAATTTATTGRCAGCACTTATCAGATTCGCTCATAAATCTGAGAAAAAAGCCGGTCAAAGCCAATGCAATGCGTGGGTGGTGCCTGGAGAGCCAGCGGTTGAGCGGCTGAGCGGGTTAGCGGGTGAGCCAGACATTTATTTGCATGCTCCACTGTCCAGTATTCAGTGCTCTGTGCTCAGTGTCCAGTGCCCAGTGCTGGTCGCACAATCCACAAATTAACATGACATTTTTACAAGCCCAAACATGTGTACACATGGGCCTCTGGTCGGAGCGAGCTCCCACTCGAAATTAATAGCCGGCCGGGCGGGCGGCCAGGCGGCCAGTCAGGCATGATAATAAAAACAACAACTAGGAAATATCATGAACGGCCTAGSCGGACCGTTATGGACACGGGCCAAAAAGTCAAACATTTGAATAGCATCTGCGTCTGTTGAATATTGAGATCGAAGCGAACAGGTTGCCAGTTCATGCATGTGCCGCCTGGCCATAAATTTAATTACTCAAAGCAGCCGGAATGAGCAAAACAAAAAGCCATCTGCAAACCCCTTTCGGGTCCCCAGCCCGCATTATAATTTGGGCCAAGTGATGTGTACACATACTCAACGTTTTCATTGACAGTGGTTCATGAAAGGCAAAAGCTGAGCACAAAGCAGAGAGTGAGAGTGAGAGAGAGAGAGACACTCACAAATCATGACAAAACATTTGGCCAACAAGTTTGTCTTCTTTTTTTCAGGTTTTTTTTTTGTATTTCGGTGCAAATATTCAAGCATGGCAAGGACGATGACGCTGATGACGATGATGAAGTTATCAGTAAAAACAAGCAAAATGTTGGCACAGTTTTAAAAAGCCATAAAGTTAGTAGCAACAACAACGAAAAATTCGAACATCGGAGGACAGAAAAAAAAAAAAAAATGCAAAAACCAAAAAAAAAGGAGAGAATGACAACAATCAAAAAAGCAGACTGCAAATGCTAAACAAGGCAACAAAGTTTAGACAGCATCTGAAGCTCAGTGCAGGGAGAATATCCTGTGAGGCTTGTGGGTGCAGCCGGTGCATGATGCTCTTTGTGATTAAAAGCGATTGTCCTGACTGTAAATGTTTTGTGCGGCATCAAACGACAAGTCCAATTCGTGTTGACATTCGTGTTGCCAACACACACAGAGAGATAGAGAGAGAGAGGGAGAGGGAGCAAGAGAGAGCGATTCATTATTGCTGCTTAAGCAGTTATTCGAATGCAGCTGGCGGCCTACCGCAAGCCGAGCAAAGCCATTCTAAAATGTGGCTAGAGCAAAGAAGCTGCCAACTGGATTTTGAAGCGGCAATTATGGCTCATTTCCGTGCCCGGACAAGGCCAACTGACAGCTCTCTGTGGCTAACCGAAATGTTCAAGAATGCTTTTAGTCAAATTGTTTTATCAAATTTCAAATTTTCAGCTGATTTTCAAATGAAATTTTTCGGGAGTGGCGCAATTGTCAGCGGTTTGATTAACGTTTTCTACAATATTCCGTGAGAAATATGTAATATTCCCAATGTTTATAAATATATATTAT